CAGGAATCGCGGGTGGCAGTGCTCCGTCCAGCCCTCTGCCTTGTGACATGAAGTGGCTTAGCTTGAGCTGGGTACCAGTGTACCTGTGCAACTCCTTACGGCTGCGCTCTGCTTTCGGCCCGCTGGGTTAAGTGCTCTGACTTAAGGGACTGGGAAGCAGAAACATGACAGGAGGAAAATAAAAGAAAATGATTCGGGTAGATAGCTCAAATCCTCCCTTTGCTGAATTTTTACTTGGCTTTGGTGCAGAAACTCTGCCGTCTTCGATTGCTTTACACCTAGTGTTTGTGGGCATATGTAGGCTGAAGAGAACAGCTACATTGGGCTGTAAATTGGGGTGGGCAGTTCTGACCTGCTTTACCTTCGTTTTTGTGCAACTAGGAGAGATGTGCAATAAGAAATACAATTTACAGAGACATGGCATGAGTTCTAGTTAAAGGAAGACTGCCGGACAGGATCCATTTCCAGCTCCCTGGTAAGGAGGCTCTGGAAAGAGGGCACACAGTTGGACATGCTGGCTAAGGGGCCACAAATGCCTCCGGTGACAAAAGCCAGTATATCTTACTTGCGTAGGGCTGCACAGATACAAATTCCAGAGAACAGGAACAGACACAGCACGATGAGGACGGGGACAATTATAGCTGTAAGCTTTAAACCTGCATGAGGGAATAAAAAAAAGGATAAAAGTTTAAAAGGTAAATTACTCTGAAGCTGGTAATTTTTACTACAGAGAACACAGCAAAAGGCAGATAATCTTGCAGGAACTTTCCTTGTAAGAGAGCATGAAAATGCCAAACTATAAGACTGCAAGACCACTCCTCAGCCATACTTGGTTGCCACATAGCTATGTGGAACAGTGTTGAGACGAAAGAGTTAAATATACTCTCTCAAGGCTGACATTTGACTTAACATGTATGCGCATCCTTACAAAGAGCAGTTCTTATTACACACTACGTCACTTTTTAAAAGCCACTTACACACACTCTGTTTCCAGTTGCTTATAAAACTGCCAGATGAGGCTGCAGTTTTGCATGCTGAGTATCTGGCTCGTGCTGAACTGGTTGAAACATTTCAGTCAAAACAGTTCAAAGATTTCCAGGAGTGGAGCTAGGGAAAAAGCCGTTTAGCCCCAGTTAAATTCTAACCCAACATGGTTTAGAGCAGGGATTTGAAAATTAGCAGTGGGGTGACTCCCGTGCCAGGAGTGCACCGTTCGCTACTCCTGCAGAGGCTCCCCAGGCTGTGAGAACAAGGTAGGACGCGTGGCCGCGGGCTATTTGCAATTTAGCAGATGAAATCTCAGTAGATTTCATTTTCAGTGAACATGGATACCATTTCTCTATACCACTGCACAGATGAACTGAGCTTGCTCTTGGCAAGAGCAATGCAGTTTCAGAAGAGTTTTTTTTTTTCTTACAGTGATTGCTTCTTACAACCAGTTTATTTTACAGAGACATTCCTACAACTATCAGCTACCTAATGGGTAGCAGTGTTTGGCGTAGTGGGGCTGGTAATTCCTGCCTGGCGCTGGGCCCACCAAACAGTCAGTATGAGCAACAAATGTTGTTTGTTTGCTTCTTAAGGTCTAAGAAGTTAGCTCCACAACATTACAGGATGGAGACTGCAGATTCAGGGAGAAGGATGCGAATTAAGGTTGTCTGAGCCCCCATGAACACGGCCCTGATGGACAAGTGTTTAATTATGCAACCGTGCACTACTGCGTGCTGCTCGGAGCTGGGGACCTGCTCTGGGAGGAGTCATGGTTGCGTAGAGAAAAGGTAACATTTTTGTGAGACCACTGCCTCACATATTACAAAATTTATAAAATACAGGAAGAGAGTGAGGAAGAGCTCTTCTAAAAACTGCTGATGCGTGCTCAGTATAGTCCCTTGAGCCACCTGCCAAGCATGGCAAATAAACCAATATCACAGGGAAACCAAAGCCTGATGTTTCACACGTCAAGGAAAATTTTCAATCTCTTTCTGTGCCTTAAGACCAAAAAAGCCTATCCCCCTCCCTCTTCTCTCTGTTGTTAACCTTTAACAAAGTCTGAAGGGAAAAGAAAAGTTTTGATTTGTGAGAAAGTTCACTCAGGCTGGGCTGAAGACATGATGCATCCTAGAGAAAACGCAGCGCTAGGTAGTGTTACCCAAGTTAGTTTCTTCCGAGGGGATGGGCTCCGTAACGGTCCTGTCTTCTTTTCCAAGGGAGGTTTCTGTGCTCTGACTTGGTTTCTGCCACATTGAATGCGTAAATGAACTGTTGGCTGCAAAAGAGGAGGGGACATCAGTGGCACTGTGGTAGCATGGGGGGCTTGGGAGGCACCATGCCTGGGGAGCACTGCTTACCCCATACCTTGCATTATTCGACAACCCATCAGCTCAAGCTTCAATGCTATTCTTTGGTTCCAAGTTTGAGGGGTAATTCGCACGTAACGGGCGACTATCGGAGGGATGAAGTTATTGCGTACTATGTCACCAGAGTTGGAGTTGCCTTGGAATACCTGCAACGCAACATAAGCACATTGTTTGCTCTGTTGTAAAAGTCTCTTTCTTCAAAGCGCTCCCGACATCCAACTTCAAAGATTTTCATTATCCTGAAACTTAATATATCAATCATCTGGGATGCAGCCACAAGATTTTTGGAATTGAGAGTTCTGGAAAGAAATAATCTTTTTAGTTCTGACAGATGATGATCACGTTTTTTCTGTTAGCTTGGAGAAGAAAGATTATCACTCTGTTTCAATTCTGGGTAATTTCTAGTTAATGTATGCTGGTATAATGCTATCGGTTTTTATTTAACAGCACTGCAGCACCCCTTACCTGGGCAACAGGGTATAAAAAGGTAAAAAGAAAAAGTTGAAGTGAAATATTTCTAGACATTTTAGTAAAATGGTCAGTTTTCTCTATCAAGCTCGAAGAGTGACGCAGTTGTGTCTCCTTTTCCCTGCACTTGTACTGTATTTCCCAGAATCAGCTCAGTCGGTGTGCAGAACAGTAGTCCTTGCAAAATTAGTTCTTGGGGATGCTTCAGCATGATCTAGGAAAACTTAAAAGCCTGATGAGATGGGGAAGTGAGCTCAGCATATCTTAGATAAAATGCCATGCCACATGGGGTTCTGATGGGACAGGTTTTGTCATGTACCTTAGCTGAAACTATCATATATAATACTTTCATAAGATTATTTGGATATAGCAAGTCACTGTGGAAAACTGCAAACCTGCAGATTTTAAATAGCTAGCCTTCACGGTTCAGCCACTACTAAGTTGATTTGTCACGTTTTGGGCCAACACCCCCGCAGTTTAACATTTAAAAAATATTAAACCAGTTATCGTTGGGCAGTGAAGTTCCTTGCCATACAAGCTAGGAAGATCAGAGGCAGAAGGAAATCTCTCTACAGCTCTACCAAGTGTTTAAAAGCTGCTGTCAGGGCTGAGGACCAGGTAGGCAGAGCCTTGTCCCGAGACAAGCGGAGCTCCCTCGGAAGTGATGAGTGAAGGTTGAACGCTGCGGGGGCACGGAGAGGGGCTTTGGGGGTTTTTTTTGTTGTTTGAAAGGTAACGTGAGTTTTTCAGGGGAAAATGTTATCGGACAAACCTGTGCAGCACAGCCTTTGTCTGCAGGAACTAGTCGCACTGCTTTTATCTGTTCGTTGTTAAAGTCCCTCAGAGTCTGTGACAGCTGTTGTGCGGACAGGTGTTTCGGTGTGAGAGCATGGATTTTACGTACCGTTCCATCAGTTCCTGGCAGAGGTAGGCTGGGCCCACTTGTGTCGGCAGCGTCCGTCCCACCGGCGAGGGCCGGGGAGCGGTGC